AATAAAAGCAATGAAAAAATAGGAAAATATAAAGTTAAATTTCTACCCTAAATGTAAAAATGTCAAATTAAAAAGTGCAAGTGCAGACAGGTGGAAAAGACACTTTCAGCTCATTTCATGTGTTTACAGCAGCTGAGTGTTTATGAAGTGAATATGCTGCTCTCTGCTGATGGTGTTTGAAACTGCAAACAAGTGAGTCTTTCAATTTGAAATCTGAGGAGGAGGGACAATTTAGTTAATTTACGAAGAACAAATGTTGAGGTGGTATAACGAGAAGTGCCACTTCGGGGGTATTTCCTATTTTCATTTCCCTACTTATGCCAAAGACAAGCGGGACACATAATAGAAATGCATAAGCATAAACACATAAACAAACTGGCTAAATATGCATAGTAATAATTAATTTATTTCTGTCACTTTTTTTCTTACAAATTGGCTTGAATGGCGATGTTAGAAATTCAAGTAGCACAATAATAATAATAATAATAATAATAATAATAATAATAATAATAATAATACACCAAATAATTAAGTCATTAATTACTAGGATATCTACTGACATGTTGTCTTAGTTCCTGATTTTTAAAGAGGCCACACTTTTGAGTCTGTCTCTGGACTGGTTGTTTGCTGCTGCTATGAGTTCAGCAAGGTTCGGTGAACCCACAGCTGGGAGTGGTTCCCTGGTGGGTGGAAGGATCATACTTCAGCTTTTATAGGTATGTTGTTCCTGGTTTGAATGTCAGGAAAGAGCTGGTCAGGGGAATTGATTCAGCATTTTGAAGTTGTGCAAGATGATGATAATGATTTGTCTTCTCAGTGTTGAAATAATATTTAGTCCAAAAAACAAATAAAGAGATATATTTCACAACAATCAGAATTACGAGAGTTTGCAGAACTACCTACTGTAACTTGGTTTATGTGGTTTATTGTGTGAAGACTGCAGTAAGACATCTGTAGGGATGTTTTTATGTGCACATATATTGAGACAGAAATTGCAGTAATACATTTTAAAGGGCCTAATGACTAAAATACACTCACTGGACACTGTGTTAGGTACACTTGCTCAACTTCTCATTAGCAGAAATAATCAGCCAGTCACATGGCTGAAAATCAGTGAATTTAGGCATGTAGACATGGTCAAGATGACCCAATGAAATTCAAACTGAGCATCAGAATAGTAGGAAGTGATTTAAATTACTTTGAGCAAGGCATCGCTGTGGGTGCAAAATGGGCTGATTGGAGTAATTCAGAAAATGCTGATCTGGGATTTTCCCACACAACCATCTCTGGAAGTGAAGGAGAAAAGAAGAGGTAGCAAGCCTGAAAAACACCCACCATTAGCAGACAAGAAGCCTACAGTCCGTCTGGACTGTGTGAAGAAAAAGAAAATATAATTTTTCAGCCTCACTACCTCACTTTCCTTTATGTGCCTTAACCTGCGTGATATGTGTCTACTACTTTAATGTATTCATGATTTAAAAGTTCAGTTTCAGTATTTCTGTACTGACCTCTTGTAGCAAGATCTAATGATGTAACTGCTGTGCTGTCTTATTTATCAGTTACTGCATTTAGGTGGCACTGAATGTCTATAAGACAGCAACATTTAGGTATTTGTAATTTTCCATTCATCTCTATCTCTATATTTGATCAGCCTGCAAAGGCAGAGTTACGCCTGTACTCTGTGTATGTCAACAGAGCACTTATCTTTTCTGCCATTTCACATCTACTGTGTTTAGAGTGCAATATATGATTTTCCATATGATGTTCCATACTTAACATTGTTGGAGCCTTTTATGTTGTTGGGTAGCATAACGGGATTACATTGAATTTTTGTTGTGTTTAAAAAAGTGACTGATTTTCATGTAAACAAATAAAATGTCAAGGGACCAAACTGACTCAAGCACAGACCAGCTCTTTAGAATAAAAGTCAGGTTATTTACAAAAAACACCAAAATGTCGGGGTTTCCGGAGAAGGAGAGGAACAGGTCCCTGCACACAATTCAATCCACACTGCTCTCATGAATATTCCACGCTCCTGTTCAGTCACTCACGCTTTCACTAGGTCCGCACCACACCACACTACCAGAAACAGGGACAGGTCCAGGAAACCTATATACAAAGCAAACACGATCCTAGAATTAAAAGTAGAACGGGAAGGAGAGCCTGCAGTTTTCAGGCCCATCTTCTGTGGAACCAGCTTCCAGTTTGGATTCGGGAGACAGACACTATCTCTACTTTTAAGATTAAGCTTAAAACTTTCCTTTTTGCTAAAGCATATAGTTAGGGCTGGACCAGGTGACCCTGAATCCTCCCTTAGTTATGCTGCAGTAGGCATACGCTGCTGGGGGATTCCAATGATGCATTGAGTATTTCTTCTTCAGTCACCTTTCTCAATCACTATGTATTAACAGACCTCTCCGCATTGAATCATACTTGTTATTAACCTCTGTCTCTCTTCCACAGCATGTCTTTCATCTTGTCTTCCTTCTCTCACCCCAACCGGTCGCAGCAGATGGCCCCGCCCCTCCCTGAGCCTGGTTCTGCCGGAGGTTTCTTCCTGTTAAAAGAGAATTTTTCCTTCCCACTGTCGCCAAAGTGCTTGCTCAGAGGGGGTCATATGATTGTTGGGTTTTTTTCTGTATCTATTATTGTAGGATCTATTGTATAATATAAAGCGCCTTGAGGTGACTGTTGTTGTGATTTGGCGCTATATAAATAAAATTTAATTAAACTGAACAGAACAAGCTAGAGATTTGCACCGAGACAGAGACAGGTTACTCAAAGGATACTGAGCCACCACCTTAGTGACCCAGGTAATCAGGCAGCTCAGTGACAGGTGGGTAATCAAACCAGGTGTGTGGGCCAAGGGTATGAGCCTATGATGAGCTCCGTCCAGGCAGAGAGAGAGAGAGAGAGAGAGTAACAAAACATGTAGCCTGAATGCTGAGTCAGCCAAGGAGACACTGAGACCATGACATAAAAAAACTACATTTTGATGAGGGGGCCACTAATTATTATTATTATTATTTTTTTTTTTTGGAGTATCTCTCAGCAGTTATTTGGACATCAAATAGTTGGTAGGCGTCTTATTAACCTTATGAGAAAATCTAGTTTTATTCCGGTACAGAGCCATCATTAAGCAAACACTTATTCAAATAAAATTTCTTGTCAAAATGGCTGTAAAAAAGGAAATACATTAAACCAGGCAAAAAACATGAATGCAGTCTTATCTCTCTTTGGTAAACTTTCTTTTAATTTCTTTAAGTGGTCTTCAGGATGTCAAGGTTTGCTGTGTGGCAGGCAGTGGTTGGACCCGAACGCAGGACTCTGAGACAGAGTATTTAACTTAAAGGTGGCAGTTTTTATTCGCTGGCAAAAGCAAACTGAGAAACACAATACATGAGCACTAGAAATACAACAAAAACTCAAGCTAGGAAGAATGACCTAAACTGGGAGTACATGACATAACCTAACATGAAAACATGACGAGTGAGGAATACGTAGAGTGGGAGGATGCGACAACAAACAGGGGAATACTGAGGACTCAAACACCAGCAGGATAATGAGAAACAGAATGAAACACAGCTGGGACTAATCAGACACAACAGGACAAAGGGGAAGCAAAACTGAACACATCAACATAGGACGCAAGAGTGTCAAAGTAAAACATGATGTAAGCACAGAGACATGGACTTGACACTGAGACAAGACTGACTGGATATGAAACATGGAACACTAGAAGATAGAACAACAAATATAACATCAAGAGAACTAAAACCATGAATAACAATAAAGAAGAAATATAAATTAAACACAAAACACTGGCTCACAGACCCAGTGTCGTGACACAGGAATGGTTTTCCAGGCTTCTTGAAGGTCATTTAGAGCTCTCTTTTAGGTTTTGGCTGCTTTTTATCTGTTCTCTGTCAAGATGATCCAACTAAGCTTACAAAAAATGTTGAAGTTCAGCTCCGGAGAGGCAGATCCACTGTATGTTATTCAATCCATGTATGAATTTCCTGCATTGGTAATGTGTTTGGGGTCATTGTAATGCTGAAAATTGAAACTGTTGCCAATCAGATGGTTTCCACATAGTATTGCATGTTGGATCAAAATCTGACTCGCTGGGAGTGAGACATGTAATTTGCAAATATCCTGATAAATTGGCTCTAAGTGTGAATGGTTCTCTCTATGTGTTAACCCTACGCTGGTGACCTATGCACTGCACCTCGTACTCTTTGACAGCTCGAATTGGCTCCAATTCATTGTTTTAGTAGTTTGTATTACTTTGTAGAGATTGTAATGCATAGGGCAGGCTTTACCTCTGCATTCTGGTGTTACGACCCGGCTCTGCTAGGCGACAGGGGATGTAACATAAATGAGCCCAGAGACAGGAGGGTTAGATAAAAAGAAAAATATAAGGTTTATTAACACAACTGAAAACTGTTAGTGAAACAACTCACTAGGCAATAGGGTGATTTGATATATAATATATCAAATCATGCTCCCAGATTCTGGGAGCATCATACAACCTGTTCCCATGTTCTGCAGTCAGCTCATTTTTTTCTGCTTCCAACACATCAGCTTTAAGAACTGTCCATTCACTTGCTGTCTGATTTATTTCACCCCTTATTATGTGCCACTGTGTTACAGGGTAAGATTCCTTATCTGTTAGTCACTTAAACAATTTTATTTCATCTTTGTACAGTTTGGCCCCACTTTACAAAGTAATAGGACAAAGTATACAGCAGGACAATAATATAGTTAAATATATTGGGAAACAACCATAATGCAAATAAATGTAAAACAAAATGTTTCAATATAAGAATTAAGAAGAATTATACAACATCAACATTAAAAAACATCACAGTCGCTCATTTTAATGGTGTGGCAAATGATATGTGTCTTACCACTTGCATGTGAGACCTAATCTTGTATACACGCTTAGTGGTCCAGCTTCTAAAAAGGCACCAATAAGAAGCTCATTTGGCATCATGCTTCTGTTCTTTCTCTACTCATGCAGAAGTCTGATTTTGTAAACAAAGTAGATAAATATGTACATTTAGATAAAAATATAAATACAACTCAAACTTTTACAGTGTCATAAGAGAAAGCATGGTTTAAAATATTAAAAAAATCAAACACTTAGGGTGCTTCATAATGTTCAGCTGGTGGGGAAAGTGCAGTCTTTAAGATCTCTGAGTGCATTCACTGTAGAGTGCAACAGAGCATGGCACTCTCCATTAGAGGGGTCATGATTGCGGTCATGATTACTCACGTTGGCAGGATGGGACTTTGTTGCTTTTTCCAGATGATTCCTGCGATGGCAGCAATGATGCCTAGGACCACTAGTGTAAACTTGACTGCAGTGACAATAGTTTTTCCTACAGAGACAGAAGAAAAACCGGTTTGCTTGGGTTGTAGTTGTGCAACATGACACAGTAAATTGAACTTAATCTGTAGACTGAAGTAGATGACTCTTACCAGTACCACTAAAAGCTGTGTCCACTGAGTCACAGTTAGGAAGCGTCCACCCAGGCTCGCACTGGCACTCACTTTTGTGGTTGCACACCTGGAAAGCACAAAGAACATGTTGCCATTATTAGTCTTAAAAAATACACTTCAGTGAAAATGCTTTATTTAAAAAACAACAACAAAAACACTGACCTACCATTTGAATTTAAGTAATATAAAACACTGCATGCCCAGTATAACTGGTGGCATGTAATTAACTAGACTTAGCCAAATTTGAATTACTTGGACTTTTCTTGCATATTCTGTTCATAGTAACATATTATCCCTACATCACTTTAGCTTCTGACCAACTGACTCTAGTTTTATTTAGTTTTGGATAGACTATAGGTAAAATACGTATAAGATGCTAGGCTAAATTATGTTATTATGATCAGCTAAGAGTTTTTCCTTGCATCAGTTATTCTTATAAAATATAGCTAAACTAAAGATTTTTTGGGGCTCAAAGTTTAACAGAGTTTTTGCAGAGCCAATTAAAAGGCACCAAGTAAAAAGTAATACAAGACCTTAATATTAAGCTAACTTCCCAAACTGCTTTGGATATTGGACGCTTATGATTTGTTTTTCTCAGAACAGTCACTTTTCAAAAGCAATTTGTTATATCCATTTTTTTACTAACTTACAAATCACACACTTCATTCAGTGCATATTTGCAATGACACTGCAGTTGCAAATGTTTGCATATGGTTCTACAAAAGTCTACATGAGTAAGTTTGGGCATGGTTGTATATCTCACATTAGCATTTCAGGGACGCCTTAAAAGGGTGTCTTTGTCTTTATAGGGCTAAATATGACCAATATGACCAATATGACCCCATTAAGATTGAAGTTATAAAACATTAAGTCCAAAAGTCAATGCAGGCTATGACATCCACCTTTTACACATAAGCTACATTTTAAACATGGATATGTTGGATTAGCTGCCCCCGGATAACAAAGGATTTAGTTAAACTTTGCAGCGAGAAATCACACAAAAACTACTTTTAACCCTTTGATTTTGTAAAGTTGATCTTAAATTTCACTCTTAGTGGCATTAAAGTCTTTAAAAGCTTTAGAACCCTGTTCACAACTATGAGGGTATGCAGCTTCTCCTCTTGATAACCTTTTGAAAACAGATGAACTAATAATGAAAATACCAGAATGTACAGTCCAGCACAAAACTGTTATAAATCAGTTCCACCTCAATGGATCAGTTTTTGGTGTCATCATGTACTCACAGCATGGCCTGGGCATTTTGCTGAACAGTTGGTGTTTCTGTATGCTGTCTGCAGATCCACACACTGATTCTGGCTGCACACCTTGGAAAAGACAAGTCAGACGTATATTTAACTTTATTTTGTTCTACACTGTAGATGCAGTAAGCAAAAAGTGGATTCAGGAAGCCTGCTACCTTTCCATCTCCACATTTAGTCCCCGTTTCCACCTGGCCTTGGTCACCGGTGTTGTCTGAGAAGAATGCTGCCTTGCATGTGCCGATGGCGACCATCTGGCCATAGTTTGGGTTGTCATTACCGCCTTCACAGAAGAGCTTTCCACAAAGAACATCTCTGCAAAAGAAAGACAGTGTTTGTTTCTGATCATGTTTGGTTGATATGAAGAACGAAGAATCAAAATAAGGGTCGGCTGCAGAGCAACTGTTGCCCTGTACGTTCTACTGGGACTCACTCTTGCTGACAGGGGATGAACTGATTATTTGAGGGGCGTTTGCAGAAGCCATAGTAGACTCCTCTGGTGTTGTAGTTATAGCATCCTTGTTTGGCCTCCTTAGCACCTGATAGCAGCAGGAGATTGCATAAAAACCTAACTCTCCATATGACTTTCACATACATCCATATGCGTATTGACAGGATACTCACCTGATCCATACATCTTGACACACTGCTTAGGTCTCTGTGGACACTGACCGTTGTAGCAGTACCCTTGGCCTCCATCACATGGGAGCCCATTCACAGCAAACACATCCTCCGGACAGGTCGTGCTCTTCCCATCGCAGTACTCTGCCAGATCACAGTCATCCTGCTTTGCACGGCACTGTCTGGAGGTAGGCAAGATCTGTGCCGAGCATATTCCATCAACGTGTAAGTTATCTGAAACATTGTTTTTCTTAAAGTGTTATATGATTAAAAATTCCAGCGCTATGTCAAACACCCTGAGTGTGTGAGCTCTGTAAACAAAATATCAAAATGTAATACTGTGGTGTTGGTTCAAACATTTGCAATATCATCTAATTACTTGAGGACTGTAGCTGAGCAAACAACTGGATCACTACAGCCAGAGGAGAGACTTTCAGGGATGAAAATAAATAAAGAAAAGAAAAGAATAATCCTTTAATTGTCCCACAAGGGGAAATTTGATTGTAACAGCAACAAGAAAAACACATGTACAAACAAACAGTGAACAGGACACAAAACAGAAACATACACGATTTTTTTTTACATATTTACATTAAGGGTAGTACTGTACTGTTACGTGCCAAGAGATGTGGCTTTGCTTTTGTGTTCTTTTTATCTTTCAGGTGTCAAGCCTCGACCTATTGGAAAATTCAAAGTTGATTTGCATGTGTCTATTGGCTGGTCTGGGCACAGTTGGCCAATCACTCTCCGAGGACCACTACAAATGCTCCCTGGCCAGCTAGTGGCTGCTGGCTTCTGCTTTATGACAAACATTTGCGTGAAGGCTTCTTTGTATTGTGTGTGGTGGGAGGCTGGACAGGTAAGCTGGGGTACCCTATACACTGGCTGCAGTTTTAAACTGTTACACACTAGGTTATTCGGTTGATGTCACTTTTGTATGTTTCCACTGACCTTTTTTCGAGTAGCTAGGTAGGTCTTTTGTTTTGGATTTTTGTTTTAGTTAGGATTAGTCAGTGTGGTCGGTCTGCGTTTTCTGAAGTCCACCATCAACTCCTTGGTTTTCCCGGCGTTGATCGGCAGGTGGAGTCTGCTGACACCAGTCCACAAAGTTCAGAGTCCACTGTCTGTACTCTGAGCCGTCCTCACCTGTGATGAGGCCGACTATGGCAGAGTCGTCAGAGAACTTCTGTAGGTGGCAGCGTGAGGAGTTGATGGAGAAGTCTGTAGTGTAGAGGGTGAAGAGGAACGGTGCCAGCACAGTTCCCTGTGGGGCCCCCGTACTGCAGACCAGCGTATCAGAGACACAACCCTGTCCTCATGTACTGTGGGCGTCCCGTGAGGTAGTCCAGTATCCACTGGGACATGTGGTGGTCCACTCCTTATAGCTCCAGCTTGTCCCTCAGAAGTCATGGCTGGATGTTGAAAGCACTGGAGAAATCAAAGAACATGATCCTCACAGTGCTTCCAGGCGAGTCAGAGTTCTGTGCAGGAGGTAGATGATGGCGTCCTCCACCCCGATGCCAGGCTGGTAAGCAAACTGCAGCGGATCCAATGAAGATCTCACCAGGGGGCACAGATGGTTTAGAACCAATGTCTCGAGGGTCTTCATCAGATGTGATGTCAGGGCTACCGGCCTGTAGCTGCTGAGGTCCTTGGGATGGGAGGTCTTTGGTACCGGTACCACACATGAGGTCTTCCACAGCTGTGGTACTTTCCCCAGCGACAGGCTCAGGTTGAACAGATATCCTAGGATGCCACACAGTTCATCTGTGCTGCATCTCAGGAGCCTGGAGCTGATGCCATCTGGACCTGCAGCCTTCCGCACCTTAATCTTGCAAAGCTTGTTCCTCATTTGAAGTGCTGAGATAGAAAGAGTGGATTTTGGGGGAGGGGGGTGTATGTTGGAGTCCACAGCATACACCCTCCTGGCTGGGAGCTGAGAGGTGGGAAGTCCTGAGATGAAAGACAGGCAGTGCCTGAAGATGAGGGAGATAGCTTCAGGGGGGACGATGCTGGGAGGGGTGGGTGGTTGATCAAACCTATTAAAATATTTATTTATGTCATTCACCCACCCCAAGTCTCCTGCAGCCTTGGGGTTGGTTTTTGTCCTGAGATTGTCTTCAGGGTTTTCCAAACCCCTCTGATGTTGTCCTGTTGCAGCTGCTCTCTGTTGGCTCGCTTGGCAGTAGGCAGAACAGCGGAGCCCCTGAGGGCTAAGAGCTGATCCCTTCTGTAAACAATGGGAGGTCGGACCTACACGCGCTCTGTTCTGAATATTGTCAATTTTGTACATGTTTTTTTTTTTGTTTTTTTTGTTAGTGTGCTGGCCCTTTAAAAGAAAGGCATGGTCCGTGCGTGGACAGAAGGGTCAGAAAGACTCAGACAATTGACAATCGACTGACTAACATGTGTTCTGTACTGTTCTCTCTTTGTGTTAAACTCCCTGAGTGTGAACATAGATAAACAGCCAGCCAAACTCCTTTTCAAGAGCCAGGAAGGTGAGCGTACTTGCTCCTTTAATGACTCCAAACATAGCAATCATCTTGCACTGACATCATTGAACTGGAGTGAAACTAGAAAAACACATAATACAAAACTCTTAATCGATTGACATATAATCAGCAGGTAAATATATTCAGGCACTTACACAGGAGATCATGAAATAAGTATACTGTAGATATCCCAACTGATATTACTACAAAGAAAACAAGCAGGTAGTAGGTGAGCGTACACTTGTATCATTAGCTCAGAAGCTACACCCTATAACTGCACTTCAAAGAAGGTACAAAATAATGTCTCAAAACACCCTATTATTAATTGCTTAATATACAAAGAACTGACAGAACTTACGACTATTGCTTTCTGAAGGACTCCTTTGAAGGATTGCTTTGGATTCCACATGAATGATTACAAAGTTGTAGCCATGCTTTTCCCACTGTTCTCTG